CGTTTCCACCTCATATTGTTGCCTCTTACAAAACTTGTCTGGGTCCAGAGAATAACACAGATGAGGTTATTCCAGATAGTTGTTGTCTCCAAACTTCTTAAAAAGACTCAGTAGAATTTCAACAATTCTCTCATAACTCAGCAAGTCTACTTTATAGGGATATCTTGTTGAAGTTTTGTGACAATGTCTTAATCTATATGATCTTGTTACTATGAGCATAAATTCTTACCCATCCAGGCAAGACTGTCCTAGAACAGACCAGGACTTGGGTAAGTCAAGCAAGCTGTATTCTGTCTGACGCCTTAACACCCATACTTTGCCCTTCCGTGAGATTTTGTCCCAGGCAGGTTTGCGGTTGGGTTGGCCTCAATGGGGGTCACGGGAGGATCCTATATTCCACAAAACAGTGGCATTTATGGCACGAGAATGGATCGGCAACATTATCATTTTTTTAATTTTTTTGGCTGTGTTGGGTCTTCATTGCTGTGCGTGGGCTTTCTCTAGTTGCAGCGAGCGGGGGCTACTCTTCATTGCGGTGCGGTGGCTTCTCTTGTTGCGGATCACAGGCTCTAGGCATGTGGGCTCAGTAGTTGTGGCGCACGGGCTTACTGGCTCCGCAGCATGTGGGATCTTCCCGGACCAGGCCTCGAACCTGTGTCCCCTGCATTGGCAGGTGGATTCTTAACCACTGCACCACCAGGGAAGCCTGCAACATTATCATATTGCGTTTTTTGCTGCAAAGAGGTTTTTCCACAGAGGAATCATGTATAATCATGTACAGTAAGTGGAAGATATTTTGTAGTTTATAGAACTGACATTTTCTGCAATACAGCTGAGAATTTGTTCTCGTAACAACTGAAGTTTCTAGCCTTTCTTTTGAGGGAAGCTCACCAATTTTGTACAACTTGCTTCATAAAAGCACAGATTCCCCCAGCAGTCCCTGGGAAAGCTGGACCTGTCGTCATCTCCTTCAGCTAAGTGCCTTTAACTTCCCTGATTTGGAAATGTCCGCCTCTAGGTTGCCTCTGCCATCTGGCCCCCCTGTTCCAGGCCTGACTCTGGGCTGCTGAACCATGTTGGGAAAAGTGACTCCTTTTGCTTTTCTTTCTTCACTCTTCTTGGTTTGCTTCCCCACAACCTTTATCCCAAAGTCCCTCTGTTATCCTCCAGCTCCCAGCCCAGCCCTTAGCAGGTGACCCGCACTTGACTCCCCCAGGAGGAGAAAGGGTATGAAGTCCACTCCATCGCCTGTTCTCCCATCAGAATTTCTCTGCAACTCTATTTTTCACATCTTCCTTTTCTCCTGTTTCTGGGAAAGAAATCGCCCCCTTCCCATTCCCTTAGCTAGCTAAGATGCGTCAGTCCGCTCTGGATTACCTGCCTCCTGGATTTCAATCCTTTATTTTTTCCCCTCTCCTTCCTCTCTCCTCTGTTTATAAAAGTGCTCAGATATGCTCATTTTAAAAAGTGTGTAAAAGAAAACAAAACCTTTTCCTCATTCCTATTACTCCCTGTGTCTATTCTTATATCTCCTGCCTTCCCTTCCTTGCCAAATGCCTTGGACTGGTCTGTAATCACTGCTTCAAAGCCCACACATGCCTTCAGCTTTCGGAATCTGGCTTCTGTCTCCACCATCCTACTGAGACCTGTTCTCTGGTAGGTCACTAAGACTCTTGTTTGTCAAATCCAGCAACCTTTTCTCTGTTCTAATTCCTAAGTCTGTGGAATCTGACACTGTTTGTTACCATGTTCTTGAGGCTCACCACCCCCTGGGCTTCCAGAACACCTTTTCATCTCCTGGCTTTCTGACCCATCTTTTTCTCTTCCTTTGGGAGTTTCTCTTTTTCTATCCCACTCCTGTGGCTTCAGTGGCAACTTCTACATAGATAACTCTCTGATGTTTATCTCCAGGTCCAGCCTATCAAATTTTTAGCATTTCCCCCTGCTTACTGCACATCTCCTCCTGAGCCCAGCATCTCAACATACCTCGTCCAGCGGTCAACATCGCCTCTTATTTAGTTCCTCTCCTGTGCTTTGATTCTGACTTTCAATTCTTTCATCTGCCCCAGATTCAGACACCGGAAAACCCTGAAGTTCTATGGTCACCCTATTTCACTTCTGACCCCTCCTTTCCATTCCCACAGCTACTTTGGTTTTGGGTTCTTGACTCTTAATTGGTTTCTCTTTCCCTGATTCTAGTTCTACCCTGGTTTGTCCCACAGGTATTCCAGGTTAAGGTATAAGTACTGGCTCTTGCCTGCTCAGAACTGTTCCATGGCTTTCTACTAGTGAAGGAATTAAGTACAGAGCCACAGTTTGGCATTCAAGACCTTCACAGCAAGGCAGGAAAAGTAAAATGGAATTTTATCTTCTCTAGGTAGTTTGAAAAACACCTGAAATAAAACTCCAAACAAACTAGTTGTCAACAAAACTATAATGTCCCTACACTTTAGTAAAAGGGTTGTAAGAAAAATAACATTTTTTTTTGCAACAGTGGATACTTTTTTCCCAAATAAAATATTTCTCAGAAATATATGTAAGGAGAATAATTTATTCTCTGTGCCAAACAGCACCAATTAGATCCTTCTTTGTGACAGTGCTGTCTGTTGCATTTGCTGACATCCTTTTTACTCAAATGTGGTGCATTAGGAAGGAGATTTGACTGGGGAATCAAGAGCTTTGTGTTCTAATTTTAGACCTAGATGGTCTGGCTTTTGGTAAGTCACTTAAAATCTCTAGGCATTAGTTTCCACATCTGCAAACTGTTGGTAAGTCACTTAAAATCTCTAGGCATTAGTTCACACATCTGCAAACTGCGGGCCTGGGACAATGTCAGTATCTGGCTGCACATTACAATCACCTGGGGAGTGTGTTTAAAACCTAGCCAACGCAAACTCTCGTCCTGGGGATGGTTTCAGTAGGTCTGGGTAGGGCCCAGATAGGTATATTTTGAAAAGCTTCTCATGTGTAGCCCGGGCTGAGAACCACTGGCTTGGTAACAAGTGCCTTTTCAGCTTTACCATAGAGTCACTTTTGGATTTGCTCTTCCTCTCAATTACAAGATGGTTTTCGTTTGAATTTACTCAGCACATTCCACCTCCTATTGTCATTATGGTTATTTTTGTCTCGTCTGCTTTCCTATGCTGTAGTTCCCACAAACACAGAATGTGTCTTACTCACCTCTGTGTGCTTGTTATTCCTTGACACATGGACTTTAAGTTTGCTAAACTTCATGAAGAGTTAACAAGCTTACTTAAACAATATCCCTTTTCCTTAACAAAATGAATTACAACTCAAACTAAACAAAAACACCTGATTCTGTGGTTCTTGGTAACTTGCTGGTGAGCTTCAGGAAGGGCAAGCTGGAGGTTCTCAGAGGCTCTTAAAATATTTTCAAAGTGAAATGTTGGTGGAACCATTCGTTCTTACATAATAACGTGGTTTAATTTTATCTACAATTGTGTTAATTATATGTTTGAGAATGTGTGTTAAGTTTTGTAGGTAAATGACTGTTGCAGTTTAAACTCTGTCGATGAGTCCTTGAGCAAATAATGTTGCTCCGGGAAGGCGGTGGTTATTAAAACTCTCGACATCACAGGAATGGCTGCAAGGGTCAAATATACCTCTGATTAGGAAAGAGGTTGTTGATGAGAGGAAGCTATATCAGGTATTTCTCTTCAGTGGCCATAGTGAAGCTATGAGAATACCAGGCATAGTTTTACTAAATGAAGTCACCGTCCGAGTTTTAAAAATCCAGTTAAACTCTGAATAATACATTCTTTCTGCTGAAGCTGAGGCGTCCGAAACAGTGCTAAGAAGTTTACAACTTTTAAAGACTCTGTGTTTTTACAGTCATTCGAATTCTTGAAATAAAATTTGAAGTATGAAAAATGCAAGGCAAAGTCTCATTGAGAAAAGCAAAGCTCTCCAGCCTGAAAAATATGACATACTCATGGGGTTTTAGTAATTGTGTAAATGATTTAGACTACTTGGCAATATTTACATTAAAAAAAGAAATCTACTAAACATCACCATATAACATATTCTCTTTGGAACTTTGGCTCATGTACTTCTCCCGGCAATTTTTCCCCCCCATGGCTATAATTTAATATCTCCCTTACATTTACAATTTACAGTAAAAGCAAACCATTAGAAAATTAGGTTTACCCGATACTAGAGCTAGGAAGTAGTAAAAGAGAGCGAAAAGCAAAGTATCCATGACTTTTTTAAAAATTAATTTTATTGAGATATAATTGGCATACAACTCTATGGCTTTTCATCATGAATATGTGCATGTACTTAGGTAATACATACATTATAAATTTACACATTCACAAATATAAATGGATAGCTGCCTCGAAGACAGGAATAAAAAAAGACATTGTAAAAAAAAGATATATGAAAATGAAATTGTCTCAACCTAAACATTTATCTTCCCTGGTGTCTCATCAAGAGTTTGAAGCTGTATAAGAAAAAGTGATGCAGAATCTGTCACTAAGTAGTTCACTTGGTGAGACTTGGGAGTTGACTTAGAAGTCGGCTGTAGGAGCAACCGAGACCGGGCACTAGGAGCTGGGCAGCCACAAGAACGTCCTCCCGGCCGCCCCGGCTGCGTCCCCGCGCCCCGCGCACGCCGCGCCGTCGCCTCCCGGCGTGCCCCGCACGTCGCCGAAGTCCCGCAGTCCCAGCCAACCGGCCGCCGCACAGGGGGCGGGACCCGGGGGCCGGCGCGCGCCGCCGCCTCACAATCGGGGCCGGGCGCCGGCGTGACGTCCCCCTTCCGCGGCCCGCCTTCTGCGCCCGGAAAGAGGCGGCAGGCCATTGGCTGCGCCGCTGGCGGCCTCGGGGCCAATGACACGGCGACGAGCGGCGGGGTCTGGCCTTGACGTTGTGCTGCTTGCCGTGGGGTTTTTTTGGCTCCGGGGCCCCTCACCGCCGCCATTAGGAGCCCGCTGCTCCCGAGGCCGCCCCCCCTCCTCTCTCCCCCTCCCCCCCTGTGTCCCCCCGCCTCCGTGCCTGCTTTCCGCCCCTCTGCCCCCGCCTCCGGCAGCGGGAGTCGCGCGCGGGCCCGCGGTCACCATGTCCTGACTGAGGGGAGAGGGCGGAGGCGGCAGCAGCGGGGCGGGCGGCAGCGCGGAGGGAGGCGGAGAGGGGCCGGGCTCGGCTCGTCGCCGCGGGCTGCTCGGGGAGTCGCTGCCGCCGCCGCTGCAGCCGGGCGCCGAGCGTCGGACGGGGAGGAGGAGCAGGAGCTGGAGGAAGAGCCACCGCCGCCGCCAGGTAACCGGGCCCCGGGAGGGCGCCCCGCTGCAGGCCCCTCGCGGCTCCGCCGCGGCCTGCCCGGGCCCCTCGCTCCCTGATGGCGCCCAGGCCGCTGGGTCTCCCGGGCCGTCCGCCAGCGACCCCCGGGTAGGCGTCGCAGGCGAGGAGAGGGGAGGCGGCAAGGTCTGGCCCCTCCGCGCTTCCATCTTGGGCTTTCCTGATGCGGGGACAGGCCCGGGGCTGTGGGAGGGTGGGTCCGCTCGGCTTGTTTACCGACCATGGATCAGCCGCGGCTGGACGCGCCGCCTGCCTTGCCACCTCTCTTCCGCCAGATGACCCCCCTTCCCCCCGACTTCTTTTCCTGCCACCTACGGGCTGGGGAGTGGGGTTGCGCTCGCGCTCTGCGGTAGGCCCTAAATACTTGGGTCCATCGCCACAAGTTGGTACTGGGCCCCAAACTTCGGTCCCTTGGCCGCTTCCTCTTCGCCTCCCGCGGTGGCCTTCCGTTGTTGCCTTTTCTGTCCTAGAAAGATGGGGGGCGATGGGGGTGGGCTGGGGAGGAGGAGCTGGAACTCGTGGCAAGATCGTCTGGCTCTTTCGCTCGCGATAACGATGGTTCCGTGAAACTCTCTATTATTTTCTCCGCTGTGGTTTGGTGTGGGTCGTTTCACAGACAAAAGGACTGTAATGAATACTTGCGTTAAGCACAAGGGACCAGCAGTTTAGGTTCAGCCTGGAAGTTTGAACCGACCGGCCCATTATCTTTGAGATAACACTGGTGTTTTGAAACTCTGGCTGAGAATTTGGTATTTCAGTCAATTGATTCCATAACTCCGTAGGCTATGAGGTTAAACGCCGTCCCCTCTATCCAATATTTTGGTCTGTTTGCTCACCGTATGATCTGTTATGTTGTTGTCAATAAATTTAATGTACAGTTGAAGAGAAATCTTTACCTCATGGAAACGTTATATAATGAGTGTTTTTTCTAAAGTCTCTTTTTTTAGTTGATTTCTTTATCACTTGTGCGACCTCAAGGGTACCCATGTTTTGATCAAACGTGGATGACTCAGTATTCAAACTATAAGCCAGGGGAAACCATAAGGAATATTGATCTTGGCTTGTGCCAGGGGTCTTAGGAAAGTCATTAAACTAGGTTTGTGAAAAATTAAGCTGGATCTCTCCTCCTGGTTATTAATATTATTAATTAAATGAGGAAGTTGTAAAGAAATCTAGAATCCTGATTCCCCCTTGATTTCTGGATCTTATGATATGCAGTCACCTTCTTATACTAAAGTTTCATAACATTGTTTTTATAGGCTGTCAGGGGGACTGAGAGGGCAGTAATGGCACATTTTAATCTTTGGGGAGGATATTATTTGAATGTCATGAGGGATTTTTATTTCTGTTGATGTTTCAACACCTTTTGTTAATGCTTCAGAACATTGAGACACCCATTTATTTACTCTTGAAATGTGCTTGGGTTAGTATGATGAGCTCATTCATGGTAGCTTATGGCCTTGATCCAGCTCTGTATGCTGGTGAGGGTTTGGCATATGGCATTTAAAGTCAGAGGATTAGCATAGTTTTGGAACTCATGATCCAGATGTAGGATATTTGAGGTAAATTGCCTCCTGTGTGTAACTGATATAGTGAGAGCTCTTCAATGTGCTTTATACTTATATCGCTTTTATAGTAGATGGAGGCTTTAAATAAATGGGAGCTGCAAAAGTAGACCACTGTAGCTTTTTATTTAACTTGGTTCAGTGTTATTATTTGAGCATTGCTGCTCACTTCCCTCCTTCCCCAATAATAAGCTTTTGCACCTGGGCTTTGAATACGTTTTCTCCCAGTGATGTGTTTCACCTGGACTATTTGTGCTCCGCTAATGCCTTGGGTAAATAATATCTTGCACATTTTAACACTCACCTTCTCACATCACAACATAAAAAGTTCCGGAACTCTCCTTGTTACATGCAAAGTAAGGTTAAGCTCCTTGGTGTGGTTTTCAGGTTTCTCTGTAATCTGGCCCTGATCCATTCTTCAGTCTTAACTCATTTCTTCCCTTTGTGAATCTTTAGTTCCAGCCAAACTAACTTGTTTGTTGTTCCTGTGAAGTCCCTCCTCTTGGCCTTTCTTTGTGCCTTTCTTTCTGTTTGAAACTCTTTTCTGCTTGTATTCACGGATACTCCCTTTACTCTGGGCCCAGTCTCTTGAGAAGCCTTTTTGACTAGTTCAACCCCAAGGGATCTATCTATTCATACCTCTCCTGTGTGGGACTGTTTTCTTCTTCTTTTTTTTTTTCCTTAGCATATGCTAGCCTGGATTTCAGTTTATCTTTTTATGTCTTTATTCGGCTTCCCAGTTAGATTTTTAAGACCTTTGAGGAGTGGGTATGAATCCTAAACCATGTATCTGTGGAGACCATATATTAAGCACTGAAAATATGAATACGTTGACAAAGTATTTCGGTTATAGAGTTGTTCTAGAATATGAAGTTTGTACTCCTCTGAGTATTGGAGTTGCTGATTTCAAAGTTGGACTTTGATGGGTTTTTAAAAAAAATTTTATTTTATTTATTTATTTTTGGCTGCGTTGGGTCTTCGTTGCTGCGCCCAGGCTTTCTAGTTGTGGCGAGCGGGGGCTACTCTTCGTTGCGGTGCGCGGGCTTCTCATTGTGGTGGCTTCTCTTGTTGCGGAGCACGGGCTATAGGCGTGTGGGCTTCAGTAGTTGTGGCACGCGGGCTTAGTAGTTGCGGCTCGCGGGCTCTAGAGCGCAGGCTCAGTAGTTGTGGCACACGGGCTTAGTTGCTCCGTGGCATGTGGGATCTTCCCGTACCAGGGCTCGAACCCGTGTCCCCTGCATTGGCAGGCGGATTCTTAACCACTGTGCCACCAGGGAAGCCCGGGCTTTGATGATTTAATGAGACAAAATATTTGAAACCATGGCTGTCTCTAAAAAGTTTTTTTTGGCCAGTATGTTTATATCTATTATCAGCATGGTTCTCTTTCTGTAGAGGATGCTCAACATTTTGATAATGGTATGAGTACTACAGATCTGTAGTTTACTTCAGATTTGAGTTCGGGGCGGTTACTTTGGTTTGAGTTTGGCACCAGTGGCACTGTTGTCATTCCATATTTGTACATAGGTAACATTTAGCATCATGGGCATTAGACAGTAATCTGCAGTCCCAGTTTGCATCCTTAACCTCAGATGTTGGCAGCATGTGTCATTGATCATGAGGCAGATGAGACTCAGGAGAATGTGTGATTCACTGCTACCTGTCAACACTGTTGGAAGAAACACAAACAAGCCCATCCATAGTATTTTTGTATCCCAAGGATAATTACGTGTAATTATGTAGCACATGGGTGGTTGCCGATGTAGTTGGAAAACAGGTGTGTACGTTCCTCTTGTGTTGTATGTGTGAGTGAGAGGCCTGATGTTTTATGGTACATAGTCTCCTAGCAGTAAATCATCTTGATTTATCCACTGCATCTTTGTGGAAACTTGTGTTCTTCCTCCAGTTCATCAAAATATGTTTTTTCCCCTGAAATTGACTGGTTTTTAGAAACTAGTTTACATAAAAACTTTTTTTTAAGCTTCAGAAACCTTTTTAGCATAATTGAAGCTAAAATTAATCTGTTAACTTTCCAGAAATACTAAGCATTTTTACTTAGGCTACTTGCATTTGTAAAAGGGACTTTCACAGAATTACATCAGTAATTTCACCACTTGAGAAATCTGGATCAGTAAGCATTCATTCTTTGCTCTCTGGGAGGGTGGTATTTTGGTTAAGATTAAATTTTTGAAAAGAGTCATTAGTTTGAATTTTAAAGTGGAGGTTGGTCAGGAACATAAAATTTATTTTTCAGGTGCCTAGTGAATTGAACTTTTTAGTAATGAAAAAACTAATTTCCTTTATTTTTTTTTTTGCGGAACGCGGGCCTCTCACTGTTGTGGCCTCACCCCTTGTGGAGCACAGGGCCTGGATGCACAGGCTCGGGCCCAGCTGCTCCGCGGCATGTGGGATCTTCCCGGACCGGGGCACGAACCCGTGTCCCCTGCATCGGCAGACAGACTCTCAACCACTGCGCCACCAGGGAAGCCCCTCACACTTTTGGCTTTTTATTTTGTACAGTTTGGCAAGTCAGATTTTTATGTGGATTGAATTTACATAAATAAAAAATATTCGAGTGGATGAGGCATTGTTGGAAATCAGTTGCATATATCTCCGTCTTTAAAAATTTTTTTTTAACAATAACAGCTTAATTGAGGTTTAGTTCATAAAACAAAAAATTCACCCTTTTAAAGTATGGAATTCATTGGTTTTTAGTGTATTTACAAAGTTATGTAACCATCACCACTATTCAGAACATGTTCATCACCCCCAAAATAGACCTTGTACCCATTAGCAGTCATTCCCTCTTTGCCCCAGTTCCTGGCAACAAGTAATCTGCTTCTGTCTTTATGGATTTACCTGTTCTGTACATTTCATATAAATGGAATCAAACAATATAGTCGTCCTTTGGTATCTGTGGGGGATTGGTTCCAGGATCCCTCTTGGATCCCCAAATCCAGGGGTACTCAATTCCCTCATATAAAATGGCAAAATATTTGCATATAACCTACACACAACCTCCTGTATACTTTAAATCATATCTATATTACTTATAATACCTAATGCAATATAAATGCTATGTAAATAGTTGTCAGTGCGTGAAAATTCAAGTTTTGCTCTTTGGAACTTTATATGACCTTTGGTATCTGGCTTTGTTCACTTCACTTATCGTTTTCAGGGTTTATCCATCTTGTATCATGTATCAGTACTTCATTCCTTTTTATGGCTGAATAATATTCCATGTATGGGTACATACCACATTTTGTTTGTATTTATCTATTCATTGATTGATGGGCATTTGAGTAGTTTCCACTTTTTGGCTTTTTATGAAATATGCTGCTGTGAGCATTTGTGTACAAACTTGTGTGTGGACATAAGTTTTCATTTTTTGGGGGGTAT